CGCAGGCTCACGACGCTCAGCAAGACTACCTGTCTGCTCAGTGTAAGGAGAAGGAGCAGGCAGCGGTGAGCCAGGCTGTAACGGAAGACCAGTAGACGACGGGAGAGTAAGAACTTGACGAAGAACAGAGTCAGGCGGCGGCAGAGACGACGGAGACGGCGGAGCGAAGAACAGTCGTGTCGGCGCAGCTGCACCAGTACCGGCAGCTCCAGCAGCTCCAGCACCTCCAGCACCTCCAGCAGCTCCAGAAGCTCCAGCCCCAGAACCGGCACCTCCAGTCCCAGGGTCTCCAGCCTCAATGTCTCCAGCAGCAGCACCTCCAGACGCAGCACCCCCAGCCCCAGCAGCTCTAGTACCTCCAGTACGAGCACCTCCGGGACCAGCGACTCCAGCACCTCCAGTAGACAAAGTACCAGCACCACTCCTAGCTCCAGGGACGTCAGCAGAAGTACCTCCAGCAGCAGAGCCCCGGGCTCCAGCAGCGCGACCCTGACGGCGACCGTACCAGTCGTGCAGCTGCTGCGAGGTGAGAGGCACACGTGGACGAAGGCGCAACAGCAGACTCTGAACCCTCAGCGCCAGCACCCTCAGCAGCTCCAGCGCCACCAGCACCAGGACCTCCAGCAGCTCCAGAACCTCCAGCGCTCGCACCCTCAGCAGCCCCAGAACCACCAGCTCCAGCGCCACCAGCACCAGGACCTCCAGCAGCTCCAGAACCTCCAGCGCCCGCACCCTCAGCAGCCCCAGAACCACCAGCTCCAGCACCTCCAGACCCCTCACACGCAGGCTCAGCACCTCCAGGCTCCACACTCTCAAGCTCCGCACCCCCAGGCTCAGCACCCCCAGAAGTAGCACCCCGAGCAGGACCACCCCCAGTAGGACCTGAGTCACCAGTGACCTCGACCGGCGCAGGGAAGGGAGGAGGGTCTACCTGAGACACACCTGAAGGAGCAGGACCGGGAGCGGGGAGGGGGTCTACCTGGGGAGCACCTGGAGCGAGGAAGAGCGGCGGGGGAGGGAGAGGGGCAGTGCGGTAGGGGAAGAGACGGTAAAAGGGAACCGACTCATCGAACGTGACGTCCTGAGACGCAAAGACACGGTGCGAGGTGGGGTGGTAAAACTGCCAACCAGGCGCGTCAGGGACAAAGCCAAGGAAGACACAGGGAACAGCACGGGCGGAGAGCTTGTCCGCGGTGGTATCGCGGACAAAGGCACGAGCACCCCAGACCCGGAAACGCGACGCATCGCCAACCTTCCCCGTCCACAGCAGCGTGGGCGAGGTCTCCGGCAAGGAGACACGGGGCCAGAGGTTGAGCTGATGCGCGGCGTACCAGACCGCAAACGGCCACAGAAAATGGGGGGCAGCCGCATGGATCATGGAGGTACGAGCGACCTCCATGACTAAGCCAATGCGGCGCTCAGCAACCCCATTCTGCTGCGGAGAGGCCGGAAGCGTGAACGACTGGGTGATGCCGTGCTCCGCACAGAAGGCTGCCAAGAGGTCTGAGGAGAACTCACCACCTCTGTCAGAGTGCAGACGCAGGACGGGAAACTCCGTCCCGAACCGCTCGCGGAGCTGGAGACGGGCAGCGCGGATCCAAGGGATCAAAACAGCAGGGACCTCCCCCTTGCTGCGCAGGGGAAAGACCGTGGTGTAACGCGTGTAGTCGTCAACAACCAGCAGGAAGTACCGCTCGTGGCCCTGTCCACGGACGCGGGCTGGGCCCCACACGTCCAGGTGGAGAGTCTGCAGGGGAGCCTCTGTGGGAGGGAACGAGGAGGAGTGAGGAGCGGCGCGCTGCCGCCCCTCGACGCAAGGAATGCAGGGCGGCGCAAGCGAGGGAGGCAGGGCAGGCAAAGACCTGGGCAGACCAGAAACCAGGAAGCGAGAGTGCATGCCACGAAGGCGCTGCACCGAGGGGTGACCAAGGCGGTGGTGCCACAGGAGGGTCTGGTGCGACAAAGCGCGACACTCGCAGGGGGCCGTCGGCTGACCTGACGCAGACGCAGACGCAGCTACCTGAGGGGACTCAGTGGTCAGGGTGTACAGACTCGAGCCAGGCGCACGGGAAAACGTGGCCAGGTGTCGGCCGGTCCGAGCACACGTACAGTGAGAGGGCGTTCCCGGGGATGGCCTGGACATTAGCCACTCCAATGATGTGTAAAAGCAGCCTTGTGACGTTGGCAATAAATAACATCTGCACTCGCGCGCCAATGAATTTCGTGCGCGAACAACGTCTTCGACCTGTTCGACGTTGAACAAGCCAGGGGACGCACCATCGAAAATATTATTTGCGGAATCGACAATCCTCGCACGCATGGGGTATGCAGTGCCAAACTCCCTACCAACACAAACACCCGCTACTTCAATGCAACCATCCCTGTGGCTTTTTGTTTTCCTATGCCCCAAATGGCTTTGGCCCTCATTCTGGTGTTTACAACAGCGCCATTACAGTTGCACGTTGCGTCAACTACACTACTGAACATCAGTTGTGCGAAAACGTTGCACGACTGTCGGTGGGCTACCTCGTTGAAGGCACGTAGCCCCAACGCTCAAATGTCCAGACGTTTGGCGTTTGGCCATCTCCAGGAATGCCATCTGAGTCACTCGCTGACTCGCAGGAGTGAACTGGTGCACCCCCCTATCCTGGAGGTCAGCTCCACTCACCAAGTTCGTAGAGAACGAGGGGAGGTAAAGACCTGATAGCAAGCCAGACGGGGCGGCCGGACACGGCAGAACCGTGGAGTAGTGGGCAAGGACTGGACCCCCGGAGGGGTCCGCCAGGGAGACTGGAACCGGCCGACTAAGCGGCGTGAGTGTGGTACAGTCGCGAAAGAAGGAGCGGGAAGCACCTGAGTCAAGCGTGAAGGTGTACAAGGCCGCAGCAGGCGCAGAACCAGAGAGAGCAGACTCACCAGCACCTGGAGCAGGAGACGTACCGGCACCTAGAGCAGCAGCCTCACCAGCACCCAGAGGAGGAGACGCACGAGCACCTAGAGCAGCAGCCTCACCAGTACCGGGAGCAGCAGGTGCTATACCAGGGTCAGGCGGGACGCACAGGGAACAGGCACGGTCAACACTAGTAGGCAATGCATACATGGCAGTGAGAATAGCATCATAGTCAAGAGCAAAGATATCGACCCTCTGTCCAAGCAGCTCCAGCCAGTCGGGGAGCTCAGCCTCGTCGCCAAACACGGTACGCCAGGCATCGCTCAGACGGGCGAAGCAGCGGGACTCTGTGTGACTAGGCGTCCCGCAAGCCTGACCAGTCCTATCACCGGTGCGAATGACGTACGAGCAGCGAACCGTACTCAAAGACCCCCGACTCTGAGCGTACCACTCATGGAGCTGCTGGGACGTAAGTGTCTCGCGTGGACGCCGCTGTAGCTGCAGATGGCCACTGCCAGACACTCCCAACCAACCAGCTCCAGGGCGACAGCTACGACGGCTACCGCGACAGCCCCAACTAGTATACCACTCACGAAGTTGCTGGGGCGTGGGAGACTCGCGGGAACGTCGCTGGAGCTGCATCGGGCCACCTGCTAAGAGCAGGAGTAGTAGCAGCAGCTCGGGCAAGGCAGGCGAGGAGGCAGGCAGGCAAGCAGGCAGGCCGGCAGGCAGGCAGACAGGCAGGCAGGCAGGCAGGCAGGCAGGCCGGCAGGCAGGCAGGCAGGCAGGCCGGCAGGCAGGCAGGCAGGCAGGCAGTCAGGCAGGCAGGCCGACAGGCAGGCAGGCAGGCAGGCAGGCAGACAGGTAGGCCGGCAGGCAGACAGGCAGGCAGGCAGGCAGGCAGGCAGACAGACAGGCAGGCCGGCAGGCAGGCAGGCAGGCAGGCAGGCCGGCAGGCAGGCAGGCAGGCGCTCACCAAAGGCTAGAAGAGCAGGCGCTCGCCGGGCGAGCAGGGCCGGCGCTCGACGGGCGGCGGCCGAGTAGGCGCACGACAGCGGCGACGTCGGGGCCGCAACACCGGCGGCAGTGTAGGGCCGAAGCAGCTGCAGGGCGGGGCCGCTTCAGCGGCAGGTCGGGGTCGTGGCAGCTGCAGGGCGGGGCCGCATCAGCGGCAGGTCGGGGCCGAGGCAGAGGGACGCGCGCGGCTCGGCGCGGGCTGCGCTGACAGCGCGCTGGGCTGCTGCAGGCCGCGCGCGGGCCGTGCGAGGCAGTAGCAGGCCGCGCGCGGCTCGGCGCGGGCTGCTGCGGGCCGCGCGCGGGCCTCGCGAGGCCGTAGCAGTAGGTCGCGCGCGGCTCGACGCGGGCTGCGTGGGCTCGGCGCGGGCTGCGCGCGGCTCGGTGCAGGCTGCGCGCGGCTCGGTGCGGGCAGCGCGCGGCAGCAGCGGGCTGCGCGCGGCTCGGTGCGGGCTGCGCGGGCCTGAAGGGCGTGTAGGGGCGGCGCGCGGGCCTTACGGGCAGCAGGAGGCAGCGCTAGGGCTGCTGGACGGCTCGCGTAGTGCAGCACGTCACAAGGCAAGGCAAGGCAGGCAGGTACGTGGGGTAGCGCGGTAACCGCAGCGGTAGGTGGGCCCGAAAAAAACGGTCCTACGGACCTTAGTGCTCTGAAACCATGTTAGAATCTAGCAGCAGGGATGATGAACTAACAGCATGCAGGAGTACAAGTAGTAAACCCTAATTGTGTTGTACCCCATATGGGCTACCCCACTACAGCCTAGACAATATGCAGCATATATGTTTGACAGAGAGCAGCGTGTTGCACTCCCTGGCCAATCCCCTTTCGCCGACATTTGTACCCCGTGGAAGCACATTCGCTTTCAGAGAAACGCCTCGAAGTTTGAGCAAGTGTTGCACCAGTAGAAACCAGTTACCTAAAAACGGATCCCAGATGCCCAAGGCTAACTAGAGACTAGTGAGCGGCCCTTTTTTGCACGTCTAAGGACAAAAACCACCACAAGAAGCCAAAGCGGTACTACCACCCCTCATCAGTGCTAAGCCAGTAACGGATCTAGATTCACGGTTTTCATTATTGATAGCTTAGCACAAGCAACTGTTATGGTGGGCCTGCATTCTTCACGATCCAAGGATGCTCTGGAAAATCGGGCAGGGAGAGAAAGAGGTAGACAAACATGAAAGCACAACATTAACAGGGCGGCTGGAGTGACCGAAAAACAAACCTTAGCAACAAAACCAGCACCAATAAGTTTCGACAACAAGGTTCCGGTGACAGTAACCAAACTTACCCAGAATCTCTTCAATCGTGATCCGGTTTTCCGGGTTCCGGTTGAGCATCTGGCGCACAAGGTCCTTCGCCTCCTCCGAGATACTAGGCCAGGGCGGACGAACGAGGTTGAAATCAGCCACCTAGAAAGCAAACTCACCTAGAATCTCTTCAATCGTAATGCGCTTCTTCGGGTTCCGGTTGAGCATCTGGCGCACAAGGTCCTTTGCCTCCTCCGAGATACTAGGCCAGGGCGGACGAACGAGGTTGAGTGTGGCCTCTTTGATTGCTTCAAAGATGGCCTCGTTGGTGGTGCCCCAGAAGGGCGGCAGGCCGCACAGCAGGATGTAGAGCACCACACCCGCACTCCAGATGTCGGCTTCTGGACCATATTTTTCCGCCAACACTTCTGGTGCCAGATAATAAGGGCTACCTGCCATGTCCGTGCACGGCTTGCCTGGGGGATAGGGGAGAGGGGAAGGGAGGGAAGGAGGATGGCCGCACAGCAGGATGTAGAGCACCACCCCCGCACTCCGGATGTCCGCCTCCGGCCCTCTGGAGCAGAGGTACTTTTCAAGCACCTCTGGAGCCAGGTAGTACGGGCTGCCAGACTGCCATGTCCGTGCACGGCTTGCGGGGCGGAGTGAGGGGGATGGGGATGGGGTGGGGTGGCGGGGTGAGGGCAGGGAGGAAGGGAGGGGACGAGGGGAGAGCCTCACGATGTTACACATGCCCCAGAAGGGAGGCAGGCCGCACAGCAGGATGTAGAGCACCATGCCCACACTCCGGATGTCCGCCTCCGGCCCGTACTTTTCAAGCACCTCTGGAGCGAGGTAGTACGGGCTGCCAGCCTGCCATGTCCGTGCACGGCTTGCCTGGGGGGAACTCAAAAGTCACCTGGCTTTTGAGTCAACTCAAAGGGCTGCCTGCCATGTCCGTGCACGGCTTGCCTGGAGTGGTGGCGGATGGAAAGGAGTAACGATGGGGAGATGAGGAGAGTCTCTGACATGAGTCTGCCATGACCCCCAGGTGGTGGCAGTGCTGCAGCAGGCCCATTACCGTGCGCAGCACCCACACACCCACTTGAACATGAAAGACATACCAATAACCACACCCACCCTCACTCTCCCCCCCCCCCCTCCCCCCACTCCACACGCTCAAAATCTCACCCGCACACACTCACAGTCACACACTCACACTCAGGCAACGCGAAAGACAATAACTTTCAGGTCCGTATCCGACTCACACCCACACACCCACACACCCGCACCCGCACCCACACACCCGCACCCGCACCAACACACCTGCACCTGCACCCACACACACCCTCTCACCTCGTTGGAAAAAGGTGGCGACGCCAAAGTCAATCACTTTGAGGTCCGTGTCCGACTCCTTGCTAGTAAGCAGAATGTTCTCATGGGGTGCATCACCCTCACATTCACACCCACACACGCACCCACACACGCACCCACACACGCACCCACACACGCACCCACACACGCACCCACACACGCACCCACACACACACCCACACACGCACCCACACACACACCCACACACACACCCACACACGCACCCACACACGCACCCACACACACACCCACACACGCACCCACACACGCACCCACACACACACCCACACACGCACCCACACACACACCCACACACACACCCACACACACACCCACACACGCACCCACACACACCCACACACGCACCCACACACACACCCACACACGCACCCACACACGCACCCACACACACACCCACACACGCACCCACACACGCACCCACACACACACCCACACACGCACCCACACACGCACCCACACACACACCCACACACGCACACACACACACACACACACACACACACACACACACCACACACGCACCCACACACGCACCCACACACACACCCACACACGCACCCACACACGCACCCACACACACACCCACACACGCACCCACACACGCACCCACACACACACCCACACACGCACCCACACACGCACCCACACACACACCCACACACGCACCCACACACACACCCACACACGCACCCACACACGCACCCACACACACACACACACACGCACCCACACACGCACCCACACACGCACCCACACACACACCCACACACGCACCCACACACGCACCCACACACACACCCACACACGCACCCACACACGCACCCACACACACACCCACACACGCACCCACACACGCACCCACACACGCACCCACACACACACCCACACACGCACCCACACACGCACCCACACACGCACCCACACACGCACCCACACACGCTCTCACCTCTTTGGAAAAAGGTTTCGACGCCAAAGTCAATCACTTTGAGATCCGTATCCGACTCCTTGCTGTTGAGCAGAATATTCTCAGGCTTTAAGTCGCGGTGCATGACCCCCAGGTCGTGGCAGTGCTGCAGCACGCCCATCACCGTGCGCAGCACCCGCGCTCCCTCCGCCTCGCTGAACTTGCCCTTGGCTTTAATGCGGTCAAACAGCTCCCCCCCCTCACACAGCTCCATCACCAGATGCACGTCCTGAGGGGAGGAGGGCGGCGGGCAAAGGCAGAGGGAGAAAACGGGGAGGGAAGGAAGGGAAGTGAATGAGGGGGGGCTGAAATAGGGGAAATCATGGTTTTTTTTTGTCTTCTTCTTTCTGAATCTCCCACCCACTCCCACAGCCATCTGCTCCTACATTCAATTCACTCAATTTGAATACATCTGAGCTGCCCTGCAGCGTTTGTGTGTGCGATCAATGAATTGTGTATCGTTAACAGTTGTTGCAATCTACAGGTTGTCGGCCCACCTGTGCATCTTCAAACGTGCTCCGAAGGTTGACCACGTCCAGATGGCCCTGTAGCGCCTATGAGTGCTTTCCATGAGCTGCGTTTCTTTTTCAAATACTACCATTATTAGCTCACCTGTGCATCCTCGAATGTGCTCCGGAGGTTGACCACGTCTGGGTGGCCCTGCAGCATGCGCTTGCACGTTGAACCTCTAATGTGCTTCTTTACCAGTCCATGACCACAACCCTTGCCCACCCCACCTGTGTTGGTTTTTGAGAATTCTCAAAAACCTCTTGTGTGCTTCTTTACCAGTTGTGTCCATGATCACAACCCTTGCCCACCTGTGCATCCTCGAATGTGCTCCGGAGGTTGACCACGTCTGGGTGGCCCTGCAGCATGCCGCATGCGCTTGCACGTTGAACCTCTTGTGTGCTTCTTTACCAGTTGTGTCCATGACCACAACCCTTGCCCACCTGTGCATCCTCGAATGTGCTCCGGAGGTTGACCACGTCTGGGTGGCCCTGCAGCATCTCCATCACCGCCACCTCCCTGCGCACGTCCTCTATGTCTTGCTGGCACTGCAACACAGCACGGAGGGAGAGCAGCAATAGCGGATGGGTTCATTGATATGGTACAGACAGACAGGTTGCCAAGTCATCTCCATCACCGCCACCTCCCTGCGCACGTCCTCTATGTCTTGCTGGCACTGCAGTGGGCAAGAGACGAGGAGGATAGAGAAAGGGAGATTGGTGAATCTCATATGATATGGAACTCCATCACCGCTACAACCCTGCGCACGTCCTCTATGTCTTGCTGGCACAGTAGCGGGCACAAAACGAAGGGAAAAGGGGATAGGTAAGGGGAACAGATACAGGGTATGGATAATTGGGATCAATAACCCTTTCTCTCGCTTCCCCCTTACTGAAAGAAGAACCCCATACATACATTGTTGTTACAACCGACCTTGTCCCTGTGGTATTACTCCTGCTCCAATCCCATACCTGCCCCTCTGTTATCCCCACACTTACAGCAACATTTCTCCACTACCCCAATCCCATACCTGCCCCTCTGTTATCCCCACACTTACAGCAACATTTCTCCACTACCCCAATCCCATACCTGCCCCTCTGTTATCCCCACACTTACAGCAACATTTCTCCACTACCCCAATCCCATACCTGCCCCTCTGTTATCCCCACACTTACAGCAACATTTCTCCACTACCCCAATCCCATACCTGCCCCTCTGTTATCCCCACACTTCAGCAACATTTCTCCACTACCCCGATCCCATACCAGTAGCAGCATTTCCACCCCTCCCAAGCCTATAACTGCAGCATTTCCACCCCTCCCAATCCCATAACTGCAGCATTTACTCTCACAACTTGCACTCCCGTACCTACGGCATCCCTTACAGTTGCAACTTGCACCCTCGTACCTGCAGCATCCCTTATGCTCACAACTTGCACCCTCGTACCTGCAGCATCCCTTACTACTTACAACTTGCACCCTCGTACCTGCAACATCCCTTACTACTTACAACTTGCACCCTCATCGTACCTGCAGCATGCCTTTGCTGATCGTCTTGCACGCGAGCCTCTCCCCCGTCACCCGATCCACACAGGCTCGGATCACCCCAAACCTGCCCCGCCCCAGCTCGCTCTTATCCACCTTATAAGACTCCCTGACATCCGCAAAAGGCCGCTTCAGGATGTTAACCAGCACCTGCTGCAGCGCCGCCTGCCCCCCATCCCCAGCCTTTTCCGCCTGCCCGCCTGCCGCTGCTTCTTTTCGGGCTGCCCGAATCACCTCCCGATTTTTTCTGGTCAGTCTAGCCTGCATACCCTCAGGTGTTACAGGTCTCCTCTCAGGTGTCATTGGCCGATTCCCCCCTCTCCGCTCCCGCTCAGGCGTTTTCTGCCTTCCGCCGAAAGGGGAAAGCATCCCTCCGCCCATGCGCGGAGTCCGCCTCCCCTCCCCCGTCCCCCCGTCCTCCGCGTCCGCCCCCGCAGGCAGCTGCAGCGCCGCCACTTCCGCCACTAGCTTCTCCTTTTCCGCGCGCCTGCGTTCCTTCTCCATCCGCCTCCTCTCCTCCCTCTCCTTCGTCTCCCTCTCAAGCCGTTTCAGCTCCTCTGCAAGCTTCCGCCTCTCCTCCCTCTCTCTTTCTAACTCCAACGCTAATCGTCTGTGCTCTTCCCTCATGATATCCTCCTCCCGCCGCCTGTACCCCCTCCGTGGCTCCCTCTCCCCCCGGCCCCCGGTCCCCATCCGCCCATATCCGCCATCCTCATCGTCGAAATCCTCGTCAAACGCATCCTCGCCCTCCATTTGGCTCCCCTCGGGGACGTCCTCGCGCATCCTGCGCGCGCGTTCCGCGCGCCTGCGCCTGCGCTCCTTCTCCTCCATTGCGCGCAGCTCCTCCTCCTCCTCCGCCTCCTCCTCGTCATCGTATTCCCCCGGTCCCGCGACCGTTCTCGACCGCATTGCGCCACTGTACCGCGCCCCCCTGTGGCCCCCATACCCCCCCCCGTCCTCCTCCTCATCCACCAATTCGGACGCGGAGCGGGGAACCCCCTTTTCCCCCCGCTCCTTGGAAAGCATGCCCGCCAGCGGAGTTCCCTCAGTGGTCGACGCGGACCGGGGGACCCCCGCCCTCCGCCCATGCACATCCGCAGTTTTCGGGCGGCTAAGCCCCTCCCCCGCAAACCCCATCCGTCCCGCCATCTCCATCCCCGTCGGCGTCCGCGGACGCGCCCCCGCTTCCCCGTGTTCCGCCGCACCCCGCCTGCTCGCTGCGCTTCGCAGCCTTCCCGAGGGGCTGGGCGCGGGCATATCCCCCCCCGCTCCGCTGCTCCGCGAGGGCGGGCGCGGGAAGAACGCGGAGCCAGGGTCCCCCGCATCCGAGGCGTGAGAGCTCTGGCGGGACGGCGGGCGGTGCAGATCTCTTTCCCCCGCGGGCCTCCGCCTAAGCGGAGACCGCATTGGCCCGCCCTCATCCGCGTATCTTGAGCGCATGCGCGGGGGGGGCGTGCGGGGAGTGTGTTCAAACCCGCCATCCCCCCGCTCGCGCATGCTCCCCCCGCGCCTGCCCATATCATCGTCGTCCCCGACCGCCCTGCGCCGGGGCCGCCTCTCCCCGTCTTCGTACCCGATATCGTCGTCTCCGTGTTTCGGATGGTACCGTCGCACGGACGACGACGTTGACGACATGCTTTCGCGATCCGGCGAAATCGGCCGCCCGCCGCCGCTGCTCGCCCCACCCGCTCCCCCGCCCCCTCCCGCCCCTGCTCCGCCGAGCGCAGCTTTAGCCTCGGACGCGCTAGAAGCAGACCGGTTAATCTTACTATCTGGGTCATCTCCTGCGTTATACACTTGCACCGATCTGCACCTTCGCGCAAACCGCATGTTTGCGGGAACCCGCTCCCCTCCCCCTGCGCCTGCTCCCCCCGCCCCCGCGCCCGCGCCCCCTTCTTGAATAGACTCCTCCACCCACCTACTCACAGAACGCCCCCTAGAAGGCGACATGATTTCCTCCGCGTCTTCCGCCAACGGGGACTGCAAGCGCTCCCGCGCGCTTCCCCCGAATCCCCCCCCGCTGCGCGCGCGGCGGAGTGCGACTTGGGGATCGCGCGGGGGGAGCCAACGGGTCTGTCCCCACCCATCCGCGGAGAGACAAGCGCGGCGCCATCCTCTCCCCCCATCCCCCCGAGACCGGACGAGCGGATTCGCCGCCCCCCGCTGGTCGCCGGCCGAGCCGCGCCGCCGGATTCTCGCAACCAATCAGGAGGCCGGCCGGCACCGGCGGTCGACAGGTCATCTCCGCCTGAGTTGTCACGACGCATTCGCCTCCCTCCTGACGTGGACGGCCGGGCGCCTCCATAGTCGTCGATTGCGTGGCGGCCGCGTTCGGGACGGGGGGATTTCTCTCGCCGCAATACGCCGTTAATCGACCTCCCTCCGCTCCCACGCTCCCGCTCGTCGTCATAATCGTCCAATCCAAGGCCGCGACTTGATCTAGACACGCGCCGCCTCTCTCCTTCCGCCATAGATATTTCTTTCCTGCTTAAACGGCTGCTCTCTCTCCCAAACTCGCTACTACTTTTCCCAGCGCCTAAAGTAGCGTTTAACTCCGCCCACGCATCGCGATAAGCGGAAGATGATTTTTTAGGAGGGAGCTCGTAACCTTGCGAATCGTCAGCTGTGCTACTTAGCGGGGTGCTGTCAGGAGACGGTAAACGGCCTGACGCTATAACGGGGTCCGCACGTCCTGATGCTATAACGGGGTCGGCTATCTGTAGTATCGCTACGCCACCAGCTCCTCCTCCCCTGCCATTAGAGTCCTCCGCACCACCGACGCCCATGATAGGCGGACCATTATCCGCACATGACACGTCATCAATACATGACACTCAGATGATAATTAAAAAGGTGTATACCTGCGAATTCCTCGTAGGTGTAAACTCACAGGTATAGCTTGGAAAACAGAATAACACGTTATTTTACACTAGAAGTCGTCTAATAAATTAGTGAAAGCCGCTGACCCGCCTAACCCTAATAGCAATGATTAGCACAGCGGAGAGCTCGACACCTGTGCCCAAAAGAAACCGCGTTAGTTAGACCCAAACTTCACAGAATAATCGGATTAGGTTTCGGAGACTCGAGGGAAATAAAACTGCTACTGTTGGTTGGGCTGTTTCTTAGAATGGCTCCTGTTGCGACAAGTGTGGGATTGCCGAACCGAGGCACCAGCTCAACTACTGTCGACTGATGCTTGTGTTTATGTGTGTAACTAATAAAGCTCTCTAGTTTTGATGTCTCGAGCGTCTATTTGTGCGGTTCGATACGTTTCAATGCGTTCTATATAGGTCTGTAAACGATATCGCGTGTTTTAGTAGGTTTCGCGGGAATACTGGAAGTTACTGGCGTGGCTGGTTGGTTTCAGCTGTGCTGCGATTGGGAAAACAGATTTCAAAGCCATCGCCGTTTCAACAGTCGTGTGCTGGACTGCCACCCAACCAAACGACCCTCGATATTGTCGGGGGCGGGCTCACCCTCTCACAAACTGGGACAGCCAATCTCCAACCTCGATACTGTCGCAGTCACTTCGCTATTGCGGAAAATGTTTAATTTCGCGCGCATCTACAACATATAATTTCCGCTATTGCGGAAAATGTTTGTGTTTTGCATTCAAGAAGGTGCAGGAATGTTGGCTCGGTTTCCCGCCAAACTCTGGCCCGTCTGAAAATCAGTGAAGGGGGTGCGCTGGCTGAATTACAGACAACGCCAAAGGCAACGCCGAAGCCAACCAACCACAAGAGCAGCGCGGAACTCACTGACTAGCAGACCTTGTTCTCAAATTCCAATTCTCCACAGCTGTTGACGTTTTGAGCTGTGAAACACCACCACGTCTCACGGATGAGAGGGTTGTGCTGTCGCATTGTTGTTCCCCTGCTGCTTTGAATTTGGTTCGACGACGAATTGGGAAAGACGCTGTTACTGATTACCAACGATGTTTGGACTAGGCCCATCCCGTCGTGTGGCGACGCCGCAAGTGCCGTCAGAAGATGAACTCCTTAGGCTTGCAGATGAAGCGACGGCAACCACGGCGAGAAAAGCAGAGACCCTGGCAATGGTAAAGGAGGGAGCGGTCGCGCAGATGCAGGCAGAGGCAAAACGTCTCGATGCAGATGCCTGGATGTTCGAGGCTCCACGATTCAACCCACGAGCGCTTGCATGATACGTTGGATAGGCGCACCTATGAGAAAAAGTGTAACACAGAGTCAGGCGACGACGTCCCTCACCTGCTCCTCCCACCCCACCCTGTCACAACCGCTTCGGCCTCTTTTATTCTGACATCCTGTTCGAGATCCAGCAGTTCCCCTTCCCCTGACACTTGGTTAAAACTGGCGTCTCATATTTCTCCAGACGTATGGCTCGTGGTTGCTGCCTGTGTGTCAAGTAACCCCTCCAGCATTAGAAAAATCCTGATTGGGGTTGGCGCGGGGTTCACATCCCACAGTTACGTTTAGAAACAATAAAATTCATTCTGTCGTTGGATGGTAGTGGCGCTCCTGAAGTAAGAATTGTATGGGAAGATCCATCATGACATGAAAAAGGGTTTTAATAGTGCAGAGACTACCTGATGTGCTCATGTGCTTATCTACCGTATTAAATATATTATAAATTTGGTGTGCTATTGTTCGAAAACTACGGTACCTGCATCAACTAATTATTAATACTGCATCCTGACTACTGGTACGGTATATTGCGTCCATAATTGCCTAGAATCAGCGGCCACCAGTAAGCAACCGGCTCCACTTGCTCTCAGAAGCTTCCTCCAATAAAATTGGACCACAGAAGAGCCACAGTGACGACGAGAAGCACCGACCACACAATGACAATTGTGGGAACACGATCCCTCTTCCCAAGCAGACCCTTGGCGAATGGGTAGAGATGGATAAGGACCCAGAAGCTGAACACTAGCTTGCCAGCAAGCTTCCCTGCAAATTGGCACATCCACGCACACAGGCACAGCATAGAAGTTGGCTTGTCAGTGGACCACAATGATACATGGAACAGGGAGGGAGGAAAGAGTGCGAGTTTCTGTTACGGTAAGAGAATTCAAAGCGGAAGGGAAAAGAGCTCAGAATGATGGGGCTGATGAGCACTTACCCCATTCCTGTGATCCATCTGAGCTCATTGCTCGTCCGACCCCCACAATAATGCCCAGAATGTTGAAAAGGCCGATGAAGCACCCAGGAAGGAGCAACCAGGAAAACTTGAATGTATGTAGCTCATCCACGTCTCCCTCATCTCCACCTTTTGAAGTCAATGTGAAACTGATTTCCAATCCAGCAATGACTTTCAGCAAACCCTGTGCAGGCATAGAAACAGTGAGTTAGGAGGCAGGCATGGAGAACCACTAGCAGATGGGCAAGCCAACTGCTACTGGGAAAATATCAAAGAGAGTCTAGCTGTCAAATCTCTTCTCTTACCTGCACAACAGCTGCAAAATGGGAGCTTATTCCAGCAATCAACCAAAACTGCTCGTTCCTCCACCATGCTTCAAAAGATACTTTGCTCCACTTCAGCTCCAGCACAGAGGATGCCAGGAACGACAAGATGAGCACAGCAAACCAGATGACTGCATAGCGATCCAGCTGCAAGAGAAGAGGAACGATCAGGTCAATAACAGAACGCTAAAATTCCAAAGAAATCAGGAGCACAAGATGAGCAATGTCAACACTGACGCCCAGTCACGAACATTCAGAGGAACCCAGACTTCTGTGATGCCAAGTCCTCACCGTTGGGACAAAGAAAAAGTCGGTAAGCAGGGCAAGGGGTGGCAGAAGACAGTACGAGAAGATCGCCACACTAGTAAATGGATAAAATGCATTGTTTGCATACCTGTACATTCAAAAGCAAAAGTACGTCAGCCAAAAAAGTCAAGACTAAAATGTTGACAAGCAAGCCAACAACTCACGCTATCCTTTGACGAAGTTTCAGCTTAGTTCCCCACTGGGACCATAATGGATTTCGTCCACTGAAGAAGATCTCCACAGCTCCTGTGGCCCATCTCTCGACTTGGTGCAGACGATCTGTCATGTTGAGTGGAGCAGACCCCTTGAATGCAGCACGGTCTGGATCACAATAAGCAGAACGCCACCCTCGTGTGTGAATTTTCATCCCTGTAAGAATGTCCTCGGTGACTGAGCCATACATCCAGCCCACTGTCTTGCCCCAATCTGTGTTGGCCTCATAGTCACAGCTGATGGTAAGAACAACATCACTAAGCATAGATCTTGGGCTTAAAGGCTGCTCCTCAACATCTCCGGACATGTTCTCATCGCCAGTTGCAGTGTTGACAAAATGGGCACAAGCACCGAGCCTTGCTGGAAGCTTGATTTTCTTCACCAGTTGAGTGGAATCTGTTATCAGTATAGTGAAGAGCATGTAATTGGTCTGAAAGGAATGCGGAAGAAAAAACCATTTGCCAATAGTGTGGCATACCCTGATCATTTGATTCATGTCCATCCAACGACTCATCCTTTCTCTGCCAGGGAAGACAGCAGCAGCACAGGTAGCTCCACAGACCATTCTTGGCTTTCGTTGGGATGCCAACCTTGCTTGGATTAGGAGAGGGAAAATAACCATAGAGAGCCTGGAAAGAAATAGAGAGGTTACTGTTACTGTGACGTACAGTCAGATGAACTTCAAAGCAAGTAAAACACTGATGACAAAGTCACTTACACGTCGACGGAAAAAACATCCTGTTCCAACGTACACAGGCCCTTGCTGCCCATCGAGACCTTTCATGTTAATGTCGAAGAACACAGTATTATGGTTTGCATAACGGTCATTCCTGTCGATTCCATCAAAACGCTGGGGGAACTGCACGAAGCCTGTAGTGTAACCTTGTATGGGATCCAAGAAGAAGCAAAGGGCCTGTAAAACACCACAAGACATATCAGTTTCCTTGGGCAAAGAGACAGACGTTCAGCAGGCGTCACGACGTACATCGCGAATAGCATCAGCATTGTTGATGTAGTGATCGCAGTCCAAGTTCATCAGCACAGCACCGTTAGTGATCAATCCGCTGGCTCTCAGGAGAGCATTCATTGCTCCTGCTTTCTTGTTGTGATCATGTCCAGGCCTTTTTTCCCGTGAAACATAGATGAGAGGTGGAAGGACTCCTCCCTCAAAGTCGCGAACATCTCCATCAGGGTGTAAAAATACCTGGTATAAGAAAGTATATAGATAAACAATAAGGGCATTCCAATTGTAGCTCTAGAAAAAGTGGTCGGGACGGTTGGGGGATGGAAGACGAAAAAAGAATGTGATGCTGTACCTGGATAATCCCGTCGTGATCACGTCTATTGTTGCCTGGCCAGGGTGTTCCATCCTCTAGCATCCAGCCTTCCTCCGGGGGATAACGGCTCTCAGCAACCAGTGCATTCATGCGAACTTTGAACTCCTCATATTCTCTCTGCATTGGGATCGAAACGTGATGAAGATTGGAAGCTACCATCACGGTCCATTGATGAGCGTATCATACCTTCACTTTGCGCCGAGTCTTGACAAAATCAGGATGCACTTTGTTTTTCAGAAAGTCGACATTCTGACTGAAGTAAGCATCTGGAGACCTTGGCTCAATGTTATGCTTCTTGCAGAATGGAACCCAAAGTCGTGCAAAGCCAGCAGTCTCGGCCATGGCATCAAACATCAGCTTGGACGCCCCATCATCAGACAAGTAACAAGCGATTCTGCTCATAAAGAAAGAAAAAGAAATGTAACTGACGGAACTATTAAAAAAGAGGTTAGACGGTGTGGAAACCTGCCTGTCAGGTGGGTAGTTCGTAGCCAGAACAGAAAGAATCGTGTTTGCTGTGACCAAAGGTGGCTCCTTCGTGGCATCAGCAGTTGTGATAAAAACATCCAACTGCGGGAGCGTTTCGCCTCCATCGTCATACCTACAAGATAAGGAAGTTAGAGACTTTTTTTTCAGCTGATGACAAGCTTACATAACACATGAGTTACACTCACACAGCTTTCAGCCTGTCTTTGTACGTCTCTCTCTTGACAGGAGTCAACTTCGGAAGTGTGTCAAGTACCCACGAAACAGCAAACCTGCAAGCTTGAAGAAAATCATTAGTTTTCAAACCTCTTCCCTCAAAGCAGAAATGTTACTGCAAATTAGACCATTCGCACCATATCTCACAAATCACAGACATCAGCCAGAGCCAATATCCAGTCTCTGTGGGGTTGGCCACCCGATACTGAAGGAATCCAACGATCGAACAAAGGCGAATGAAAAGAACAATCCTGCAGAGTAGTGCACTTACATCAGTCAGAGGATGAAAGAAAGAAGGGAAATGGAAGAAAGAAACCATTCGTTTGCAGGATGCACAGACCTGTAAGGGCCGATAATGCTACCAGGGTAGCTCAACTTTCTTGCCAAGCTCTTCTTTTTCCAGTCAGCTCTGGAAAGGGTATTAAACGATTAAGGCATATGTCCTGTAAGTTTAGCATCAAACACTATCAACCATAGGCAACCTACATCGGAACAGCTCGATCAGGTGCCTTTGTTGGTGGCTGCTCCCAAGCGACGCTGCCATAACCATATTGAGGCTGACTGGTTTGAATGATGCTGTTATCTTGATTGAGAGGCACCAGGTTTTTTTCTCCCTGAACCTGCAACGTACAGAAAAAGGCTCCAGCCATCGTTTTTTCAGAGTAAACCGCAACAAATTCGCCCACTTTTCAATGACGTACCTGAGGCCCTGATTGTTCAATCTCGTTGATGCTTTGCAGCTGCTTTGATGATGTTCTGACAAGCCGCGAAGGAGAGGAAGCGCCATCAGCCCGAGGTGTTTCATTGAGCATGGCTTGCATTAACACCCCTGAAAAAAGAGGCACGTTATTTAAAATGTCCCATAGTGCTTCACGTGCAAAACACAACGTGGAATTGCTGCTGCATACATTGCTCTCGGCTTCTAAGATCTCCCCCACATCCTGGACAGCGGTTTCTTTCAAACTTGTGCACATGATCCAAACAAATGGTGCACATCCTGAAGGAACACTCGCATGGTGTGTATTCTTCATCCGCTGGCACGGCATCGCCACACATGTTGCAGACAGCTTGCTTTATCTGGGGGCCTGCGTTCTGAAATAGTTGTTTAGTACGACGCTCCTGATATTAAAAAACGGACAGTTTAGCTTACCATCAACCGTGTAACACTTCGAATGCCATTTAAATTCTTGTCTCCATGAGCTAAGGAGCAGAGCAACCCCTGTGTGTGGGTACCCACTGCACTGTTGCTCCTTTCCTGCATAAAGTGTCATTAGAGTCTGTGATCACACAACACGTGTAGACTTTGCACTGTAGCTTACCACTTTAATACGTGCCAACCCGAGTTTCTCTTCAGGAAACACTGATGCCGCTCTTGCCTCCTTTTCCTGCAATATCTTAGAGTAAGCATTAACGAAACAAAAAGCTATTTCTAATCAGAATACTCACCGCATCGCGGCTTATCGCCAATGATCCTCCCCTTGATCGGCTTAAGGATGTCCTGATGGAGCTTTCCGGGAGCGTTCCTGATAGTTCGTATATTGACGTCAAGCTTTGACGTAAAGTTGTACTTTGTTAAAAACTGCACGAGACTTACCGGTAAGGCCACCCAAGAAAGATCCACTTCCATACTTCCGAATCCCAGCAGGAGAAGCATCTGGCTCCTGAACATGGTATGCTCCAACAGCCACTGACTGACTCCGTTTCAAGTCATTGTCGGCGTGTTGCCTGTCAAGGAGCACACACGTGTCAGATAACTAAGAGCAAAAACAGTGACGTAATTGATACTGGTGCTAGAAGGCTTACACAGGTGGAGGATGTTCAGATACGGAGGCTCCTGCGAATGTTCCTTGTTCCTGAGAAAGACTAACGTAAGGCAGGATTCTTCACAAATCCAAAAAAAAGGCATAGGCATTGCTGATGGCTGAATACCTGTCTATCGGTTGTGCTACTAAGCCGGTTACGCATTCCATGGTCGCTAGGTCTCCTGGCCGGAGCGACGACGACATCAGGCGACTCCTCCATCCTTGGAGACTCCTAGGTACGGACACAGTAACTCATTCTTGCAAGCCTTTTTGGTGATGAGTGTGATCAGAAACCAGAGCGCAGCAGCGATGCCAGCAACAATGCTGCCCTGTTCGCTATGTCAGCTGAGGGCCTGGTTCAGCAACATGCGAGGCGCATTAGCGATGCGGTTGGGTTTGGTTCGGTTCAAATACGACGCAAAATACAGAAACATAACCAGTAACTGCACGCAATTAAGTTGTAATAAAAGTAAACAAAACCTCGACATTAGCGATTCTGCCACGTCATTACCTCGACTTTTTCCTGGCCAATCCCAGCCACTACTTCGGACCCACGCCATTTCCGTCATCCAAAACGGAACTTTCTGAGTCCTCCCAACCATACTCCACCCAAGCCAATCGTCCTGACCTACTCCGCTGACCACTTTTCCCACTTCAAAACCGCTTTCCTTCCACCCTCCTCCCATTAGTACTCATCGATTAGGTGGCGCTCACTGCGGCTAAAGCAAGAGCCAGTCTCCTCCGTCAATAGTGGCGTAGCGGCCCTGTCTTCACTGTCGTTTCTTATTTCTTACTATCAGCGTGCAATTTCACCACGGCCATGCCTCGCCCAGCAGCCTCACCGTTGGAGAGGAAGTCACGAAGTGCTGAAGAGGAGAACCCCTTTGCTGGGCTTGGCGTTCGCGCTTCAGCATCGCCAAAGGTACTTTTGCGTGTTTACTTCCCCGTCCATGCACATGGCCTCTAAATATATGGAGCTGCTTTTTATGTTTCCTCAAGAAAGTTAGCAGCTTTCATAACCAACTTAGTTCTGCTCAGGCAAAGAGGTCACCAGTTTTGTTATGATGTAGCTTGTAAACGACACTAATGAACCCTTCAATATTCGCTGCTTCCGTGTGCTGGCATCCAGTCAGCAAGATTCTTGTCGTTCTCATGTGCAACGGATCGTTTTTAGCGCGCACCTCGTTTATGACTTACGTTTCTTCGGTTGCAACACTGTGTTGAGCAGTCAGGAGCTGTCATGGCACCATCCTCCGGTGCTCTGTCAAGAAGACGAGCGCCGCCTAATCAAAACAACGCCATGTTCGAGTTCGACCCGGAGCTCGTTGCTGCTTTTCAACGCAACATGATGGTACGTAATTTCTGTATTCGTATGTGGACTTGCGACTTTGTTTCTATGTGACGGGGATGCAACCACGAGTCAGGTGCAGTGGCGCCTTTTCTTCCAGTTCACCTTTTTTTTTTTCTTAATATTAACCAACGATTCATGGAGGAATAACAAGGTTAATGAACACGCGCGCGCGCACACACACACACACACACACGCACACGTACGCCCCTCCCCCGCCCCCCCCCCTCCTCCCCCCCCACACACACACTCAACGCCCCCCCCCCCCCCCCCACACACACACACACATACTCACTCTCACCCCCGGCACCACACACACCCACACCTTTGCTAGTTACGTACGCATATAATCGCGTTTCCTCTTCCCGCTCTGTACGGCGCCCATCATCCCCCTCCACAACCCTCCCACTTCCTCCGTCTTGTCCTTCGCCACCCCCTCCCTCTCTCTCCGCCACCACCTCCCACGCCTTCGCCCCTCCCTTTCTTCTACCAACGTACCCAGAATAATTACCTGTATCGATTTCTGGTTGTTCTTCTAGCCTCTGATTTTGTAGAGTTTCACATTCTCATTTCTCAGTCACCCCTTCAACTTCTTTACTGTCCTTGGTTTCTCCATTTTCCGGTGTTTGACATCTTGGATATGAACGGTATGCAGTTCTTTCGTCGTGTGTTCAGCCTAGACACCTTCCTCAGGCCCTTGCCAGCGCCAGTGGCACAGTCCATTGCACGAAGCTTTGGTTTCTTCACAAGCATCTTCACACAGTTTGTTGGTAAGTGAATGTTTCTGGGTTTATTGTTTTTAGTGGTAGACCTTTGTTTTCTGTATCTCTTTTTTGACATGAAACTCAGCAAGCACAATGTTGCTGAATACTTCACTCACCTGCTGCTGTGTCTGTCTTTTCGATTGTTTTCATATTTGCCCCTTCGTGTTGCAGATCCGAAGGGCATTAAGAACGCACAAAAAGCAATGGGCATTCGAAAGGATGACTCTAGGATCGTTCGACGAAAAGAGTAACAACATTTTGTTCCTTACTGTGGCTCCTTAGGTAATTTGAATGCTGGTCTGGTACCTTCATTTGATTCCTTCTGCCCTCATCTCCAGCCTGAAGCTGCAGAGGAGGAAAGGTCATTGTGACCATGCATTTAGTGAGTTGTGCAAGGAGTACCGTATAACCTGCCTGGGTGGGAGGGACGGGGGGGAGAGAAGAGCCTTTGAGGCACCTCAAACCGCTGTTAGGTGAATCTATGATCCTCTTGGGAGGGGAGATGGGGGGTTGTGTAGGAGTATGCAGTATGAACAAACATGCAGGGAGGGAGGTGATTGTGACAAGGGGATCGATATCTAAAATAGCTTAGTTCCCATTGTGCAGTGAATTCCGAAGCGACCAGCATCTATATCGCTTGTGCTCCAACTTGGTTCAAAGACGAGTAATCTCTAAACTGATAATTGCAAATTCATATGGTAGCCAAATAGGTAATGTATTGAAATAGCATATGGAAATCTTTTGTGGAGGGAGCCGTGACCTGAATATTGAAATGGTGCTCTTATGTTGAGAACGATCTTCACTCCCTGTCATTCCCTCGGACCTCATGTTGTCTGCATCCAATTCGTTTGTGCCACAGCCAGAGTTCCGTGTTCTCCTCACTTCATCCTTTTTATAACGAGCCTTTTCTCTTCTAGAAGCAAAGACGGAGTTTCGGACTTGGTTGGCGTAGAAGGCGACAACGCGCCAATGGTGGGGCCCTTAGGGCAGCACCGCTCTGGATTCCTCCAAACCGAGGCTCCATCCGCCTTTTCCGCCTCTCTCCCGGTCGAGATCGAGTGGGGATTGGGCAACGAGCTTCTTATTTGCGCTCCGGCCGCATCCGTTGCCGCATCCGTCGCCGCATCTGACGGCGCGAATGACGGCGCGTTTCCGGGAAGGTCGGACGGCCGAGAAGATGACGTGGCGGAACACGGGTCGGCCGTCGTCAGCGTGACGTGGGCTGACACGTCATCATTTCACCGGCAGATCGCAGCGGGGGCGTCGTCGCTGTACGGGCGACTGCAAGCGGCGATTGCGGCGGAAATGGCGGAGGAAGCGAACGACGCGGAGATTGATGAGCGACGCGAGAGGTAGGTCGTGCGTTGAGTCGAGTCGTCTCGAATCGCGCCAATGGCGACGGGGATGGGGAGGAAGCGGAAGACGACCAGGGATGCAAGAGGTGGGAGGGGGGAGAGAGGGGGGGAGAGAGGGGGACTGAGGGGGGAAGAGAGGTGGGGAGACAAACTGAGGGAAAAGCTGGGAGGGGGATTCAAGTGACATGTGGTGGTGAGGTTCTCTTGGGTGACACTCCGAAACAATCTGTTGCTTCTGCGCGTTTCTCTTCTCACTGCCATCACTCCTCCAGGTGGAGACACGTCAGCAGGTGGTCTCGCCACGTCAGCAGGCTCCTCTCTCCGCCGTCTGCCCAGTCCACGCTGGCAGCTGCTCGCGCCTCCCCCCACTCCCTTGGGATCTCCGCCGCTGACCCATTTGCGGGGATAGACGCTGAGGAGGAGTGGGAGGACGAGGTGGGTGTTTGTTATTTAGTGGAGGTATACTGACCATTGTCAGGAATTACTGTCCCTTGGGATCTCCGCCGCTGACCCGTTTGCTGGGATAGACGCTGAGGAGGAGTGGGAGGATGAGGTGGGTGGGTTGGGAGGGTGGGGAGGGTTGTTAGAGTGTGTTGAGAATAATATAAATTGCTCTCCCTTCGGGTCTTTGCCGTTGAGTTGTTTGCACGGATAGATGCAAACAACTCAACTGCAGGAGGAGGTGGGTGTATCATGCATGCGTATGTGGCTGCCTTTTGAGACGTCTCAAAAGTCGTGCACGGGGCGTTTTCTTTGTCACTGCAACTGCTTCAATTTCATTCGCTACTCCTCCTGCCTTCAATTTCATTTGCCACTCTGCCTTCCCTTATTGCCCTCCTCCTCCGTTATCCCCCTGCCAACCAACCAACCAACCAACCAGTCTGCGCCACGTGGCATCAGCCAGGGTGAACTGGCAGCCGTCTGGGACCTCCTCCGCCTCTGCTTCCTTCCCGACCACACACCTGGCGCTGCTGACGTGGACAGTGACATCGACACTCGCATGGGTGGTGGTGCTGATGTGGACAGTGCACTCAGGGGAGCAAGAGGAGGAGGAGGAGGAGCAGGAGGAGGAGGAGGTATCAGAGGGATGGAGGCAGGTGATAGGGGAGGCAGCAACAGCTTCCGTGCCTCTCCGCCCTCCTCCTCCCCTCTCCTCCTGCCTCCTCCCTCTGCTGCCTCTTCTACCCCCACCTGTCAACCCTTCGTCTCCTGGCTCGCTGTGAGTTCGTCTTTCTTCTCCCTTTTTTTTCTTTCATCGTTGTTCCCCATTCCTTCTATTCTCCTCTCCTCCCTCCTCCATCCCCCTCCTCTTACCTCCGCCATCTGCTGCTTCCTCCACCCGCACCTGTCAGCCCTTCGACTCCTGGCTTTCTGTGAGTGGAACCATTGTTTTGCTTTTCACTATCTTATTCAATCCTGTCTCGTCTCTTCTCCTCTCCATCCTCATCCTTCCCGCTCCTCCTGCTGCCTCCCTCTGACTTATGAGTCGACTCAAAAGCCTCCTCCTGCCGCCTCCCTCAATTGCTTTGCTGCTTCCTCCCCCACCTATCAACCCTTCATCTCCCCCTCTCTGAGCTCCGTTTCTTTCTTCTACTCTTCTCACTGCCTCTCGCTGCTGCTCTAGCTCTTCCCCCTTTTCTCTTTTTGCATCTTCCATCTCTTCTCTTTCAACTATATTTTCTCCTTGTTCATTCCATAGGCCCATATACACCTTTCATAACCTCGACCCACCTCTCTGTTTCTTGTCATCGCTTGCAACAAGTCCGTTTGAAATTCAGCCATATTCTACCCTTACCTTCCCTGTTTCTTGCTTCCCAGCCACCGCACCACCCCGCCCCAAGTAGCCCCACCCCTTTCCCCCACTCCCCCCCACCCCTTTTGAGGCGCCTCAAAAACCAGCCACCGCCCCACCCCGCCCCAATAAGCCCCACCCCTTTCCCCCACTCCCCCACCGCTCTCCCACAACCCCTCCCTTTTCCCCTTGTATTAAAAACAGCAATACAACGCATCGCTCCCCCCATGCAACATGTCCACGTCAGCACGCCTCCGGTCCTTGCGGGATCAGATGAGCCAATCAGAGGTGAGCAGATGGTGCGTCCAGGGTATCTTATGGGTTGAATGAGTTGAATGAGCATGATGTCTCTTTTGGAGGTTGTTTTACATGTATGTACCCTGTTCCCTCCCACTAGTCTTGACAAAACGTCTCATCAAAACTTCTCTAGGATTTTGTATGGATCAACCGTGCCTCGATGCTCTCCTATTGGAGGTTTTTTTACATGTACCCACTTCTCTCCCTCTTCCCATCCTCTTCTCATCCGTTGACTACCCTCTCCCATCCGCTTTCTACCATCTTCCCACCCTTGTCTCCTTTTCATTACTCAATTTCAGTCAAATGACATTCTGTTTTCCCTCCTCTTGCTTCTATTCCTCCCTTCCTCCCTTCCTCTCCCTTTCTCCTGTTTTCCCCCTCCTCTCCCTCCTCTCTTCTCTTTTCCCTCCATTCATATCCTCTTTCATCTCCCAACAGGCCATACCACCAGAGGATCTTGACCCCTATTGGCCGGCTGTTGCTTCCTGTGCTGCGATTGGCTGGAGAGACACAGCGGTACGTTGCCTTTCCTTTCGTCTTTCTTTCGTTCGTTTTATTTTGTTTTGTTTTGTTCCGTATAGATTCTCTGCTACAACCCTTTTTTCTTGTTCCGGTTGCCAGGGAAGTCAGTAGTTTCACAACCAAACACACCCTTTCCGTAGGATTGGGAAACAAGGAATCACTTGCTTTTCTTTAAAGCAGCCGAATATATATCCGCACTCGCCTTCCCCATGCAAAGATGCCAATGCACCTCTTTCTCTCTCACTTCCCCCACCCCTCCTTCTCCTGCTCTTTGACGGCTCTTCTTCGACGGCGTTTCTTCTTCCCTCCTTCCCACTTTCCCGCTCCTTTCGCTCTCCCAGACAGCTCTACTGCGTTTCCACTCATCATACCGTGAGGATCAAGTTATTCAGAGGGAGGCGGAGAACGGGCTGGTAGAAGCGGTGGCAGTGCTGCTGGCCGAGATGCCGATGCCGCTTGAGCCAATGGCGGCGCGCGACGCTGCTGAGGTGTCGGCGTATCACAGGGTGAGCCGAGTGCTGTGTCAGCGTGGCTTGTCAGTGAGTTTTATAGCTGCTCCTTGAATCCGCGCTGCCCTTTCACTTTCCCACCCCTCTCACCCTTTCACTCCTCTCATCCCTTTCACCACTACCATTTTCCCAAGTTCTCATTCTTCCCATTTTCCCATTTTTCCACACCCGGCATCTGCTGCTTGTGTTCTGCTTAAAGCCAGCCCTTTTTGGGCGGCGGCAGATGCGCCGGCCACCGAGAAACCGCTGCTTGCGCTGCACTGTAAAGCCCTACCCTTCCCCCAATCCTAAACCCCAAACCCTGCTCACCCCTCCCCTCGCAGCATCGCGACCACTGGAGAAGCCGTCTTGCTCGGCTGAAAGCCAGCCCATTCTGGGCGGCGGCAGATGCGCCGGCCACCGAGAGAGCGCTGCTCGCGCTGCTGGATCTGCTTCTGGGGAGCTCTCGGGCCGTTGATGACGTGGCGCGCTCCCATTGGCTGGAGCTGTTGGGGGCGCGGCTACTGCATCAGAACCCACAGGCGGTGAGAAGTGGTGTTGAGGGGCTGGGCCGAGTTGGTTTGGGTTGGGTTGAGTTTGGTTGGGTTGGGATCGGTTGGGTTGAGTTGGGTTGGGTTGGGTTGAGTTGGGTTGTGTTGGGCTCGGTTGGGTTGAGTTGGGTTGGGCTGGGTTGGTTTCGGCTGGGCTGGGCTGTGTTGGGTTGGGTTCGGTCGGGTTCGGCTCGGTTGGGTTCGGTTGGGGCCCTTAGGTGTAATGAACTTGCTACTGCACCAGAACCCCCTACTTGCGCATGTTGATTGACTCACTTCTAATGAGCTTTTTGTGATGTTTGGGCGGCCAGTTAGAAAGTCCTCAATTGTGCATGTGAAGGGGTGTGAAGGGATGTGAAGGGATGTGAAGGGATGTGAAGGGGTGTGAAGGGGTGGGGCGGAGCTTACCTTTCATCACAGCCAATTTTTCTCCTCCACCTGGTAACAGACCGCAGCAGCACAGGCGCCTTGTGCTCGGTACTGCTGGAAAGAAGCAGCAGACAGCAAGTGACAGACAGCAAGTGACAGACAGCAAGTGACAGACAGCAAGTGACAGACAGCAAGTGACAGACAGCAAGCAGCAGACAGCAAGTGACAGACAGCAAGTGACAGACAGCAAGTGACAGACAGCAAGTGACAGACAGCAAGCAGCAGACAGCAAGTGACAGACAGCAAGTGACAGACAGCAAGTGACAGACAGCAAGCAGCAGACAGCAAGTGGCAGACAGCAAGTGGCAGACAGGAAGCCGCAGACAGCAAGCAGCAGACAGCAAGGAGCAAACATTGATTTCCCCCTTCCATTCTTCGCCCCACTCCTCTCATCTTGACAACAGACCGCAGCAGCACAGGCGTCCCTCGCACCGCAATGCTGGAGGGAAGCAGCGGGCGACAGGCAGCAATGGGGAGGGACAAGAGCAAGGCCTCACTTTTCTTTCCCTTCCCCCCTGCACCTCTCTCCTCTCCCCCTCCTCTGGTAACAGACGGCAGCAGCACAGGCGTCGCTCGCACTGCAATGCTGGCGGGAAGCGGCAAGCAGTGGTGGGAAGAGTGCGGGAGCATCTCAGCCGTTGGATGCCTCGGATCTCGTCCAACCGTCGTTGGATCGGCTCATGCTGGCGTCCTTGTGCCATGAAACAGAGGTGGGGGAAGAAAAGAACGCGAACATACATTTCTTTACAGTGTTGAGTACTTCTTGGATTTTTCAACCACCTGCCACGTCAGCAGCATGTGTGCTATACATTCCTCCCGGAAGTCCATGGTTGTGTTTGTATCGCCTGTTGTTGCCTTTGCTTGAAAGTTGAAGCTGCCTTAGCTCGCTCCATGAAGGACTTCAGCTAGTTTTTTTTTTAATTCTGAAAAGTGAAAGTCATCAGTTGAATTCTCATCCCACTATCCTCCGATCTTGTTCCCTGCCTTCCCTGTTTCTCCTTCGTCCGCTGCTATCTCTTTTTTGCCATTGACGGGGGGCACGGTATGGCATGGCATGGCATGGCATGGGATGGGATGGAGTGATATGGGATGGGGTTATATGGGATGGGATGGGATGGGATGGGATGGGATGGGATGCCATGGTGTGACATGGCATGAGATGGGAGGGGGGATGGAATGACATGACATGACATTGGCATGGCATGGCACGGCACGGCACAACATGGCATGCCCATGCACATGGCAGGTGGTGGTGTCCATAGCATCTCGACTCCTCCCCTCCTGGTGCGCCCTCCTCCCTCTGCTTTCTTTCCTCTTGCAGCCATTCTCTTAAGATTTTTCAACCAAGCCAAGTCCTCCTTCCTCTTCCTTCCCTTCCCATGCTCCCCTATCCTTTCCCCCGTCCCCCCTTCCCTATCCTTCCGTATCCTGCCCCACTGTTACTCTGCCCCACTTGTCACTGCGTCCCTCCTACTCTCCTGATTTATCTCCGCTTTTTCTATTATCTTCGTTATTTCCGCCCAGTTATGTCTTGCTTTCTCCCAGCCTCCCTCTCCCCCCTCCTTCCCATCCCTCCCCCCTCTCAACCCTCTTCTCCGTCACTTCCTACTGGCAAAAGACGACCCTCCCTCCCTTCTTCCTGATGCTCCTCTCCTCCCCAACCCTCTCAACCTCCCCTTCACCCCCCCCAACCCTCTCAACCAACCTCCCCTTCAACCCCCCCCAACCCTCTCAACCAACCTCCCCTTCAACCCCCCCCAACCCTCTCAACCTCCCCTCCCCCTCCCCCAACCCCCTCAACCTCCCCTCTTCCCCTGTCAGGTTCCTAGTGCAAGCGATTGAACTTCTCTCCCTGCACTCACCGTCCCTCTCCGCTCTATCAGCCAATCAAGCCGCTGCAGCTGCCGCCCGAAATGCTGCCTCTGCCGCCCAGGAGCCATCCGCAGCAGACGGTGCTGACATCAGCGGCCTGTCTGTTCTGGATCTCTGCCGGGTGAACTACGCAATGGACCTCCTATCAGATGCTGCCACGTGGCAGGTGAGATCTCCTATCAGATGCTGCCACGTGGCAGGTAAAATCCTGGTCTTTGATCATCCAGTCATTCTCCCCCGTGCAGACCAAGCGCTGCCTTGGTCACACACACATGAATGTTCATAGCGTTGTACATAGCCTTGTACTTGATGGTTCCTTCTTTCTGTACAAGGCTACGTGTTGTTTTTGACGATCGGATTCCTCTTTCCTTTCCTCTCTGCTCATTGTTTCCAGCTCGCCCTCCGTTACCTCGCTCCATGCCCACCACCAGGAGAGCCCTTTATCAGAAGCTGCTACTGCACGGCCTGTCCCGCCCTTTCCCACCCCGCCCCACCCTCTCTCACCCTTTCCCACCCTGTCTCAATGCAAAACATCTACCTTCTTCCTCTCCCCCAGCTCCTTCCCCAGCTCGCCCTCCCCTACCTCTCCCCATGCCCACCAGGAGACCCCTTCACACAGCAAGTGCTGCAATCCCTCCCTGTCTCAGTGCATTTTCTCTCTCCACTCTCCACTCTCCACTCTCCACTCTCCACTCTCCACTCTCCACTCTCCACTCTCCACTCTCCACTCTCCACTCTCCACTCTCCACTCTCCACTCTCCACTCTCCACTCTCTCCCCCACCCTTTCCCTTCCCCAGCTCGCCCTTCCCTACCTCGCCCCGTGCCCACCAGCAGAGCCCTTCACCGACCAAGTGCTGCTGGCCCAGCCAGCCTCAATGCACATCCCTCTATAACTTCCGTGTCCCTCTCCCTCTCTTCCTCTCCGAATCTCCCCCCCTTTTCCCTTCCCCAGCTCGCCCTCCCCTACCTCGCTCCATGCCCACCAGCAGAGCCCTTTATAGAGCAAGTGCTGCTGGCCCAGCCACTCACACCCACCACGCACAGCAGCATTGCCAAGACCCTTTTCCTCCTTGACTCGTACGCCCCTGCGTGCTACCCCTCTGCTGCGGCCTTCCTGTCAAGAGTAAGCAAGTCCTCTTGACCTGCCCTGCCATCTCGGCCTCATCCATTCCCCCTCACTGCCTGCAACCCTTCTGCTGCCTGCAACCCTTCTGCTGCCTGCAACCCTTCTGCTGCCTGCAACCCTTCTGCTGCCTGCAACCCTTCTGCTGCCTGCAACCCTTCTGCTGCCTGCAACCCTTCTGCTGCCTGCAACCCTTCTGCTGCCTGCAACCCTTCTGCTGCCTGCAACCCTTCTGCTGCCTGCAACCCTTCTGCTGCCTGCAACCCTTCTGCTGCCTGCAACCCTTCTGCTGCCTGCAACCCTTCTGCTGCCTGCAACCCTTCTGCTGCCTGCAACCCTTCTGCTGCCTGCAACCCTTCTGCTGCCTGCAACCCTTCTGCTGCCTGCAACCCTTCTGCTGCCTGCAACCCTTCTGCTGCCTGCAACCCTTCTGCTGCCTGCAACCCTTCTGCTGCCTGCAACCCTTCTGCTGCCTGCAACCCTTCTGCTGCCTGCAACCCTTCTGCTGCCTGCAACCCTTCTGCTGCCTGCAACCCTTCTGCTGCCTGCAACCCTTCTGCTGCCTGCAACCCTTCTGCTGCCTGCAACCCTTCTGCTGCCTGCAACCCTTCTGCTGCCTGCAACCCTTCTGCTGCCTGCAACCCTTCTGCTGCCTGCAACCCTTCTGCTGCCTGCAACCCTTCTGCTGCCTGCAACCCTTCTGCTGCCTGCAACCCTTCTGCTGCCTGCAACCCTTCTGCTGCCTGCAACCCTTCTGCTGCCTGCAACCCTTCTGCTGCCTGCAACCCTTCTGCTGCCTGCAACCCTTCTGCTGCCTGCAACCCTTCTGCTGCCTGCAACCCTTCTGCTGCCTGCAACCCTTCTGCTGCCTGCAACCCTTCTGCTGCCTGCAACCCTTCTGCTGCCTGCAACCCTTCTGCTGCCTGCAACCCTTCTGCTGCCTGCAACCCTTCTGCTGCCTGCAACCCTTCTGCTGCCTGCAACCCTTCTGCTGCCTGCAACCCTTCTGCTGCCTGCAACCCTTCTGCTGCCTGCAACCCTTCTGCTGCCTGCAACCCTTCTGCTGCCTGCAACCCTTCTGCTGCCTGCAACCCTTCTGCTGCCTGCAACCCTTCTGCTGCCTGCAACCCTTCTGCTGCCTGCAACCCTTCTGCTGCCTGCAACCCTTCTGCTGCCTGCAACCCTTCTGCTGCCTGCAACCCTTCTGCTGCCTGCAACCCTTCTGCTGCCTGCAACCCTTCTGCTGCCTGCAACCCTTCTGCTGCCTGCAACCCTTCTGCTGCCTGCAACCCTTCTGCTGCCTGCAACCCTTCTGCTGCCTGCAACCCTTCTGCTGCCTGCAACCCTTCTGCTGCCTGCAACCCTTCTGCTGCCTGCAACCCTTCTGCTGCCTGCAACCCTTCTGCTGCCTGCAACCCTTCTGCTGCCTGCAACCCTTCTGCTGCCTGCAACCCTTCTGCTGCCTGCAACCCTTCTGCTGCCTGCAACCCTTCTGCTGCCTGCAACCCTTCTGCTGCCTGCAACCCTTCTGCTGCCTGCAACCCTTCTGCTGCCTGCAACCCTTCTGCTGCCTGCAACCCTTCTGCTGCCTGCAACCCTTCTGCTGCCTGCAACCCTTCTGCTGCCTGCAACCCTTCTGCTGCCTGCAACCCTTCTGCTGCCTGCAACCCTTCTGCTGCCTGCAACCCTTCTGCTGCCTGCAACCCTTCTGCTGCCTGCAACCCTTCTGCTGCCTGCAACCCTTCTGCTGCCTGCAACCCTTCTGCTGCCTGCAACCCTTCTGCTGCCTGCAACCCTTCTGCTGCCTGCAACCCTTCTGCTGCCTGCAACCCTTCTGCTGCCTGCAACCCTTCTGCTGCCTGCAACCCTTCTGCTGCCTGCAACCCTTCTGCTGCCTGCAACCCTTCTGCTGCCTGCAACCCTTCTGCTGCCTGCAACCCTTCTGCTGCCTGCAACCCTTCTGCTGCCTGCAACCCTTCTGCTGCCTGCAACCCTTCTGCTGCCTGCAACCCTTCTGCTGCCTGCAACCCTTCTGCTGCCTGCAACCCTTCTGCTGCCTGCAACCCTTCTGCTGCCTGCAACCCTTCTGCTGCCTGCAACCCTTCTGCTGCCTGCAACCCTTCTGCTGCCTGCAACCCTTCTGCTGCCTGCAACCCTTCTGCTGCCTGCAACCCTTCTGCTGCCTGCAACCCTTCTGCTGCCTGCAACCCTTCTGCTGCCTGCAACCCTTCTGCTGCCTGCAACCCTTCTGCTGCCTGCAACCCTTCTGCTGCCTGCAACCCTTCTGCTGCCTGCAACCCTTCTGCTGCCTGCAACCCTTCTGCTGCCTGCAACCCTTCTGCTGCCTGCAACCCTTCTGCTGCCTGCAACCCTTCTGCTGCCTGCAACCCTTCTGCTGCCTGCAACCCTTCTGCTGCCTGCAACCCTTCTGCTGCCTGCAACCCTTCTGCTGCCTGCAACCCTTCTGCTGCCTGCAACCCTTCTGCTGCCTGCAACCCTTCTGCTGCCTGCAACCCTTCTGCTGCCTGCAACCCTTCTGCTGCCTGCAACCCTTCTGCTGCCTGCAACCCTTCTGCTGCCTGCAACCCTTCTGCTGCCTGCAACCCTTCTGCTGCCTGCAACCCTTCTGCTGCCTGCAACCCTTCTGCTGCCTGCAACCCTTCTGCTGCCTGCAACCCTTCTGCTGCCTGCAACCCTTCTGCTGCCTGCAACCCTTCTGCTGCCTGCAACCCTTCTGCTGCCTGCAACCCTTCTGCTGCCTGCAACCCTTCTGCTGCCTGCAACCCTTCTGCTGCCTGCAACCCTTCTGCTGCCTGCAACCCTTCTGCTGCCTGCAACCCTTCTGCTGCCTGCAACCCTTCTGCTGCCTGCAACCCTTCTGCTGCCTGCAACCCTTCTGCTGCCTGCAACCCTTCTGCTGCCTGCAACCCTTCTGCTGCCTGCAACCCTTCTGCTGCCTGCAACCCTTCTGCTGCCTGCAACCCTTCTGCTGCCTGCAACCCTTCTGCTGCCTGCAACCCTTCTGCTGCCTGCAACCCTTCTGCTTCTGCTGCCTGCAACCCTTCTGCTGCCTGCAACCCTTTTTGCTGCCTTTAACGAGGTCCTTAGTCATCACACAGCAAGCGCTGCTGGCCCAGCCAGTCGCACCCACCACGCACACCAGCATCGCCAAGACCCTTTTCCTCGTTGACTCATTCGCCCCTGCCTGCTACCCCTCTGCTGCTACTTTTGAGAATTCTCAAAAGGCACACTAAAAATCTTGTCAATAAATGAACAAGCGGAACCTCTTCCATGATCCCTGTCTTTTCACTCTCACACTGGCCCCTACCCTTTCCCACTTTCCCCACTTTCCCCCCTTTCCCCCCTTTCCCCCCTTTCCCCCCTTTTCCCCCCTTTTTCCCCCTTTTCCCCCTTTTCCCCTTTCCCCCTTTCCCCCCCCCCTTTTCCCCCTTTTCCCCCTTTTCCCCCTTTTCCCCCCCCCCCTTTCCCCCCCCCTTTTCCCCCTTTTCCCCCCCTTTTCCCCCTTTTCCCCCCTTTTCCCCTTTTCCCCCTTTTCCCCCTTTTCCCCATTTTCCCCCCCTTTTCCCCCTTTTCCCCCTTTTCCCCATTTTCCCCTTTTCCCCCTTTTCCCCATTTTCTCCCTTTTCCCCCTTTTCCTACCTTCATTCCACCCGATCTGCCACCACTGCATGTCATCATTCTTTTCAGCATGCCGTATCTAGGTGACTTCTAAGTAGACTCAAAAGACCCCCTCGTACTTTTCAGCAGGTCCTTTCATTCATCCCCTGTTAGACCCTTTTAGCCTTACCATCCCCTGTGTGCCCTCTCCTCTCGCCCCGCCCCTTCTGCACATCTCCTCTCCCTCCCCTTCCCCCCCCCCACCCCCTCTAGTCTGATGCCAGGGCATTTTGATCAAGAGGACTCTGAAATTTTGGATCCCGTTTATCATACCCCTCTCACCTCCCCCATTCCCTACCCCTCCCTTTCCCCCCTCCCCCTCTCTCCTCGCTCCCCACTCCCCGCTCCCCCCTCCAGTCTGCTGCCATGGCGTGTAGGGACTCTAGAAGCATGTCTCTTCGAATCCTCTCTCACCTCCCGCGTTCCTTTTCCTCCTTCCCCCCTCCCCCTCACTCTCCCCTCCCCTTCCCCCTCCCTTTCCTCTCCCCCTCCTCTTCCCCCGCTCCCCCCCTTCCAGTCTACTGCTATGGCATGTTGGAACTCTAGAACCCTGCCCAACCAGCCCCTCATCAGACCCTGTTCAACATATCGTCCTCCCCCGTTGACTTTGGAGTCGACTGAAAAGTAACCCTGCCCAGCCAGCACCTCTTCGAACCCTGTTCAACATACCGTTCCCTCCTCCTCCCCCGTTCCCCCCTCTTCTCCCCTCCCCCTCACTCCACACACCCCTTCCAGTCTGCTGCCATGGCATGTTGGGACTCCAGAAGCATCGCAACGTCGCGCCACGTGGCGAGTGTCTATTGGATGGCGGCGGCCGGCGCCCCAGCAGCAGCGCCTATGGACTCCCTTGTCCTTTTCCTTGCAGACGAGCTGCTGGTGCCGGCTGTCATGGGGAGGCTGCATCTGGTGCAGGGCGCACCTGGTTCAGGCAGTGCCTCTCAGGGAGCAGCAGGAGGAGCAGCAGGAGGAGCAGCAGGAGGAGCAGCATTGGATGCTCTGAGGAGCAGCAGTGGGTCGACGGGACAGAGTCACTCACCTCTTGAATACGTGCTCTCGTGAGTGGTCTCCTGGTTTATGTGAGTGCTTTTCGTCACACACAAGACCAGCGCTGGATGCTCTGAGGAGCAGCAGTGGGTCGACGGGACAGAGTCACTCACCTCTTGAATACGTGCTCTCGTGAGTGGTCTCCTGGTTTATGTGAGTGCTTTTCGTCACACACAAGACCAGCGCTGGATGCTCTGAGGAGCAGCAGTGGGTCGACGGGACAGAGTCACTCACCTCTTGAATACGTGCTCTCGTGAGTGGTCTCCTGGTTTATGTGAGTGCTTTTCGTCACACACAAGAGCAGCGCTGGATGCTCTGAGGAGCAGCAGTGGGTCGACGGGACAGAGTCACTCACCTCTTGAATACGTGCTCTCGTGAGTGGTCTCCTGGTTTATGTGAGTGCTTTTCGTCACACACAAGAGCAGCGCTGGATGCTCTGAGGAGCAGCAGTGGGTCGACGGGACAGAGTCACTCACCTCTTGAATACGTGCTCTCGTGAGTGGTCTCCTGGTTTATGTGAGTGCTTTTCGTCACACACAAGAGCAGCGCTGGATGCTCTGAGGAGCAGCAGTGGGTCGACGGGACAGAGTCACTCACCTCTTGAATACGTGCTCTCGTGAGTGGTCTCCTGGTTTATGTGAGTGCTTTTCGTCACACACAAGACCAGCGCTGGATGCTCTGAGGAGCAGCAGTGGGTCGACGGGACAGAGTCACTCACCTCTTGAATACGTGCTCTCGTGAGTGGTCTCCTGGTTTATGTGAGTGCTTTTCGTCACACACAAGAGCAGCGCTGGATGCTCTGAGGAGCAGCAGTGGGTCGACGGGACAGAGTCACTCACCTCTTGAATACGTGCTCTCGTGAGTGGTCTCCTGGTTTATGTGAGTGCTTTTCGTCACACACAAGACCAGCGCTGGATGCTCTGAGGAGCAGCAGTGGGTCGACGGGACAGAGTCACTCACCTCTTGAATACGTGCTCTCGTGAGTGGTCTCGTGAGTGCTTTTCGTCACACACAAGAGCAGCGCTGGATGCTCTGAGGAGCAGCAGTGGGTCGACGGGACAGAGTCACTCACCTCTTGAATACGTGCTCTCGTGAGTGGTCTCCTGGTTTATGTGAGTGCTTTTCGTCACACACAAGACCAGCGCTGGATGCTCTGAGGAGCAGCAGTGGGTCGACGGGACAGAGTCACTCACCTCTTGAATACGTGCTCTCGTGAGTGGTCTCCTGGTTTATGTGAGTGCTTTTCGTCACACACAAGAGCAGCGCTGGATGCTCTGAGGAGCAGCAGTGGGTCGACGGGACAGAGTCACTCACCTCTTGAATACGTGCTCTCGTGAGTGGTCTCCTGGTTTATGTGAGTGCTTTTCGTCACACACAAGACCAGCGCTGGATGCTCTGAGGAGCAGCAGTGGGTCGACGGGACAGAGTCACTCACCTCTTGAATACGTGCTCTCGTGAGTGGTCTCCTGGTTTATGTGAGTGCTTTTCGTCACACACAAGAGCAGCGCTGGATGCTCTGAGGAGCAGCAGTGGGTCGACGGGACAGAGTCACTCACCTCTTGAATACGTGCTCTCGTGAGTGGTCTCGTGAGTGCTTTTCGTCACACACAAGAGCAGCGCTGGATGCTCTGAGGAGCAGCAGTGGGTCGACGGGACAGAGTCACTCACCTCTTGAATACGTGCTCTCGTGAGTGGTCTCCTGGTTTATGTGAGTGCTTTTCGTCACACACAAGAGCAGCGCTGGATGCTCTGAGGAGCAGCAGTGGGTCGACGGGACAGAGTCACTCACCTCTTGAATACGTGCTCTCGTGAGTGGTCTCCTGGTTTATGTGAGTGCTTTTCGTCACACACAAGACCAGCGCTGGATGCTCTGAGGAGCAGCAGTGGGTCGACGGGACAGAGTCACTCACCTCTTGAATACGTGCTCTCGTGAGTAATCTCCTGGTTTATGTGAGTGCTTTTCGTCACACACAAGAGCAGCGCTGGATGCTCTGAGGAGCAGCAGTGGGTCGACGGGACAGAGTCACTCACCTCTTGAATACGTGCTCTCGTGAGTGGTCTCCTGGTTTATGTGAGTGCTTTTCGTCACACACAAGACCAGCGCTGGATGCTCTGAGGAGCAGCAGTGGGTCGACGGGACAGAGTCACTCACCTCTTGAATACGTGCTCTCGTGAGTGGTCTCCTGGTTTATGTGAGTGCTTTTCGTCACACACAAGACCAGCGCTGGATGCTCTGAGGAGCAGCAGTGGGTCGACGGGACAGAGTCACTCACCTCTTGAATACGTGCTCTCGTGAGTGGTCTCCTGGTTTATGTGAGTGCTTTTCGTCACACACAAGACCAGCACAGGATGCTCTGAGGAACAGCAGTGGGTCGACGGGACAGAGTCACTCACCTCTTGAATACGTGCTCTCGTGAGTGGTCTCCTGGTTTATGTGAGTGCTTTTCGTCACACACAAGAGCAGCGCTGGATGCTCTGAGGAGCAGCAGTGGGTCGACGGGACAGAGTCACTCACCTCTTGAATACGTGCTCTCGTGAGTGGTCTCCTGGTTTATGTGAGTGCTTTTCGTCACACACAAGAGCAGCGCTGGATGCTCTGAGGAGCAGCAGTGGGTCGACGGGACAGAGTCACTCACCTCTTGAATACGTGCTCTCGTGAGTGGTCTCCTGGTTTATGTGAGTGCTTTTCGTCACACACAAGAGCAGCGCTGGATGCTCTGAGGAGCAGCAGTGGGTCGACGGGACAGAGTCACTCACCTCTTGAATACGTGCTCTCGTGAGTGGTCTCCTGGTTTATGTGAGTGCTTTTCGTCACACACAAGAGCAGCGCTGGATGCTCTGAGGAGCAGCAGTGGGTCGACGGGACAGAGTCACTCACCTCTTGAATACGTGCTCTCGTGAGTGGTCTCCTGGTTTATGTGAGTGCTTTTCGTCACACACAAGACCAGCGCTGGATGCTCTGAGGAGCAGCAGTGGGTCGACGGGACAGAGTCACTCACCTCTTGAATACGTGCTCTCGTGAGTGGTCTCCTGGTTTATGTGAGTGCTTTTCGTCACACACAAGAGCAGCGCTGGATGCTCTGAGGAGCAGCAGTGGGTCGACGGGACAGAGTCACTCACCTCTTGAATACGTGCTCTCGTGAGTGGTCTCCTGGTTTATGTGAGTGCTTTTCGTCACACACAAGACCAGCGCTGGATGCTCTGAGGAGCAGCAGTGGGTCGACGGGACAGAGTCACTCACCTCTTGAATACGTGCTCTCGTGAGTGGTCTCCTGGTTTATGTGAGTGCTTTTCGTCACACACAAGAGCAGCGCTGGATGCTCTGAGGAGCAGCAGTGGGTCGACGGGACAGAGTCACTCACCTCTTGAATACGTGCTCTCGTGAGTGGTCTCCTGGTTTATGTGAGTGCTTTTCGTCACACACAAGAGCAGCGCTGGATGCTCTGAGGAGCAGCAGTGGGTCGACGGGACAGAGTCACTCACCTCTTGAATACGTGCTCTCGTGAGTGGTCTCCTGGTTTATGTGAGTGCTTTTCGTCACACACAAGACCAGCGCTGGATGCTCTGAGGAGCAGCAGTGGGTCGACGGGACAGAGTCACTCACCTCTTGAATACGTGCTCTCGTGAGTGGTCTCCTGGTTTATGTGAGTGCTTTTCGTCACACACAAGACCAGCGCTGGATGCTCTGAGGAGCAGCAGTGGGTCGACGGGACAGAGTCACTCACCTCTTGAATACGTGCTCTCGTGAGTGGTCTCCTGGTTTATGTGAGTGCTTTTCGTCACACACAAGACCAGCGCTGGATGCTCTGAGGAGCAGCAGTGGGTCGACGGGACAGAGTCACTCACCTCTTGAATACGTGCTCTCGTGAGTGGTCTCCTGGTTTATGTGAGTGCTTTTCGTCACACACAAGAGCAGCGCTGGATGCTCTGAGGAGCAGCAGTGGGTCGACGGGACAGAGTCACTCACCTCTTGAATACGTGCTCTCGTGAGTGGTCTCCTGGTTTATGTGAGTGCTTTTCGTCACACACAAGAGCAGCGCTGGATGCTCTGAGGAGCAGCAGTGGGTCGACGGGACAGAGTCACTCACCTCTTGAATACGTGCTCTCGTGAGTGGTCTCCTGGTTTATGTGAGTGCTTTTCGTCACACACAAGAGCAGCGCTGGATGCTCTGAGGAGCAGCAGTGGGTCGACGGGACAGAGTCACTCACCTCTTGAATACGTGCTCTCGTGAGTGGTCTCCTGGTTTATGTGAGTGCTTTTCGTCACACACAAGAGCAGCGCTGGATGCTCTGAGGAGCAGCAGTGGGTCGACGGGACAGAGTCACTCACCTCTTGAATACGTGCTCTCGTGAGTGGTCTCCTGGTTTATGTGAGTGCTTTTCGTCACACACAAGAGCAGCGCTGGATGCTCTGAGGAGCAGCAGTGGGTCGACGGGACAGAGTCACTCACCTCTTGAATACGTGCTCTCGTGAGTGGTCTCCTGGTTTATGTGAGTGCTTTTCGTCACACACAAGACCAGCGCTGGATGCTCTGAGGAGCAGCAGTGGGTCGACGGGACAGAGTCACTCACCTCTTGAATACGTGCTCTCGTGAGTGGTCTCCTGGTTTATGTGAGTGCTTTTCGTCACACACAAGAGCAGCGCTGGATGCTCTGAGGAGCAGCAGTGGGTCGACGGGACAGAGTCACTCACCTCTTGAATACGTGCTCTCGTGAGTGGTCTCCTGGTTTATGTGAGTGCTTTTCGTCACACACAAGAGCAGCGCTGGATGCTCTGAGGAGCAGCAGTGGGTCGACGGGACAGAGTCACTCACCTCTTGAATACGTGCTCTCGTGAGTGGTCTCCTGGTTTATGTGAGTGCTTTTCGTCACACACAAGAGCAGCGCTGGATGCTCTGAGGAGCAGCAGTGGGTCGACGGGACAGAGTCACTCACCTCTTGAATACGTGCTCTCGTGAGTGGTCTCCTGGTTTATGTGAGTGCTTTTCGTCACACACAAGACCAGCGCTGG